AATCAAACACTTGACCAAACCTGATAACATTCCATTACAATTCCTTCCAGATTCTAATTCTTTTGATAGATTTCATTCCTTCAGAAATTATTCTGCGAACCAAAGCCCCTTAGGATTTGTTTGCAATCCCTCAAACATAGGATTTTGAAATCCCATGAGGGTGGTTGGGATTTCACAATATTTCGTAGGATTTGTATATAATAAAGTTTATTTTTTTTTAAATATTTGTTTTCTAATAATCAATTAATAAAAAGGAAATTTAATTATTTTTATAATTATTTATAAAGAATAAAATTCAATCCATTCCAAATCATATAAACCAAACATACCAAAGATTCCAAATTCTTCCATGAAATCCATATCTTTCAAAATCATTCAATCAAATCAAACGCCCCTTCATAGTAAATAATTTTGCCTTACATTTTAAGCCGAGGATGACTGATATACAACATGTAACCACCATTAAATAGTAATAAAAAAACGAAGATATCGTAAAATATGATAAGTATTCCATGAAAACAAACTATATAAACCCTATTTAACGAAACGAGCCCAATATAACACATTTGCAGGTGGGGTTTGTGAGGGTAAGATATATATGAACAAACCTGATTTCTACCTCAAAGAGTAAAGCCATTGTTTCGGTGAAAGAGGATGATACAAATATTTATTGGGTTTGCTTTCTCCATTAAACTAATGTATGATTCTACATATTGATCAACTTTTGGGGCTACTGCTTTGTCTCAACTTCTAATCTTCATACGTTGTATTTTCTTATTTCATCCACAGTCAAATCCAAGAAGCTCGACCTCGTCTCTTCAGGAGGAAGCTAAAGCATATGAAGAATAACGAGGTGCCATCCAAGTATGGAGATTGATTCCCACCTATATCTTAGTCACTTGTTTTATTTATTTGTTCTACAAGTCAAGAATCTTCACAAAAACAGTCTATCCACCTTTTAGGCTAGCAGTAAGGTCTATATACATCTTACTTTCACTCATACCGCACCTCTGTGTGGAATTTACTGAGTATGTTTTGTTTCATTTTCTTTGGTGGCAATATTTCATCCTATCATGTATGAAGCGGGTGTCATGCCTAGGGGTGTAATGATTCAAAATTTTAATCAACTACTCAAGTTTGATTAGATCTCAGATACAAAATAAAATGTGTTTACTTAACGAGTCAAGTTCTATACACTAATATTTGACTCGGCTTGTTAAAGAGCTCAATTAAAATTGTCGAGCCAAGCCAATTGAGCATAGACTTTCTCGAGTCAAATGTGATAACCGGGTTCCGGTTATAGAAATTGAGGTAATTATTTGGTTATATTAAATCCATGATGCATGTATATGTATATGTGTGTATATGCATAGGTATGGGAGTGTAAAAAAAGGGGGGGGGGGTTATATTAATAAACTCCCACCGCGTAATTTTGGGAAGTATTTAAAGTTGAAACTTTGAAGAAGGCAATCTGAGTTGCCATTTTTAGAAAGAAAAGGAGTCTGTGTTTTCTCTCTTTTATGCTAAGGCTGAAGTGATTCTGTGTGAATTTGGAAGTTGATTTTTGGGTTGTTGTATTCATCTTCAATCTTGCATATAAGGTGAGTTTTTAAAAATACTTGCATCTGAATATGATGTTTTTGATCATATTTTGTTCTGCATAATGTTAGTTAGAATCAGATTCTGCTGTACGTATATATTTTGTTCAAATGCATGGTCCGATAAGGACTATTATCGGACACTATGTTGTCCGATGAGAGACCCTTATCGCACAAGCTTTGTCCGGTGAGAATATTTATGTTTTTATGTGTTGTCCGATGAGGACCTTTATCGGACAAAGCTTTGTCTGGTGAGAACTTTTATTGGACAAGGTGTTGTCCGGATTGGGCATCTTATCGTCTAAGTATTAACCGTATTGAGTATTATGTTTTTAAGTGTTGGTCGGATTGGGTGATTCATCACCCAACACTTTGTCCGGTGAGAGTGCTTATCGGACAAAGCATTGTCCGGATTGAAAGTTTATTTTTAAGTGTTGACCGGTGAGGATAGTTACTGGTCATAGTGTTAACCGATGAGCATGTTATCGGTCATAGTGTTGACCGATGAGGGCAGTTTATCGCCCACTTGCTATCCGATGAAGGACAGTCATCGGTTAAGTGTTGTCCGGTGAAGTGATGTCCGGACAAATGTTGTCCGATGAGGACTTTTACCCATTGTGTATCTTTCAAATGTTGATTTTAAATTGAGGAATGTATTGTTTCTTTCAAAACTGTTGAGAAGAGTAAACTGTTTTTGAAAGCTGTTTTGAGATGGCATTGGAACTGGTTTGGAACCGTGAAAGTTTTTGAGATAAAGTTTTTGAAATGAAACTATTTTTTAGGCCATTATTGACTAAAATAACATATTTATCTGCATTTAATGAGGAAATAAGGGTGACATATCAAAGAGAGGTGTACCATGGGATAAGGGTGACGTATCAAGGAGAGATGTACTTTGGGATAAGGGTGGCAATTGTGATATCTGTGTTACATTTATAGCTCTTGTTGTCACATTCGTAAGATGCGATAATTCAGAGTTAACATTTCTTTGTGACAAGAAAACTTGGAATTATTGTTCCTATTGAAATGATAACAATGATGTTATTGAGAAGGGGGAAATAGCTTATAGTCAGAGGCATTAATTGCCCGTATTTCAAATAACAAATGTTTTTGGGATATTGGATATCATATTTTGACTGTTCAAAAGAGTAAAAATTTGAAATAAAACCTGGAGGGTCTTTGGTTAATTAAGTTCAATTTTCTTATGTGTTCAAAACGGTTCTTATTTTAAAAGGTTTAGTTAATAACCAAAGAGCTCTGGTTGATGGCATTTCTTTGTATGATTTTGAAAGTCGAGATTATAAGCTCTGATCTTTATGAGATTTAAGAGCTTTGAAAGTTATGTACTAAATGTCTGTGATGACCTGAGTGGTTATATTTCCTTTGTGGTAAGAAATGCATTTATACATTGCAGTTTGATGTATTACTGGAGTTATACTTTATCAAAGTTGTTGGATGTTCAAATGTGACTTTTATAACAGGTTTTGGTGGTTTTCACCATGTAATTGCAAAGAAATGAGTTTTCTCATTAGACCTCAAGGTCTAACCCTCATTTTGTGTTTTAAAAATATACATTGCAGGTCAGGCTATGTCTAAGGATAAGGGGAAGGGGAACACGTGAATTATTTTCCTATTGTATTAAATTGTTCTTTGAAGATCAACATGATACCTAATGGATTTTGGAATACTTGTTATTTATACAAGTGGTGTACACAAATTTTATTTTGAAATTTTTGAGATGTAAATTCCGTAATATAGTTTCTTGTACTGTTGGGACTGAAGTTGTGTTATTGTATTTCTTAATATATGAAATGCATGATTATATTCAGATGTGGAAAGTGAGGTGTTATATCAAACATGTTCATATTTTCATAAATCATACAATCAACTTATAGAATTTATCAAACTTGAGCCAATAAATGAGTTAATCTCGAGTTCAAACCCATATACGAGCTTAAAAAGCTACTTGATTTAATCAGAGGCAAAATAGAAAGATATTGCACATGGTGCTTTTGAGTTCTGATGACTCTTTTCCTTTTTGGATAATCGTGGTTGTCCAAACCAACTTGTACCCACCTCAATTAATTTCATGGAACCCTGAAGATAACAACCAAAAAAATTTCTATTGGCCTTGAGAAACTCGAACTCACAACCAATAGAGAAGAGCCACATAGCCTAGTCTTTCTTTGTCAGTTAAACTGGTCCTCAAGGTTAGTTTTTGCAATTTACATAATTCAGGTTTTTGCAACCATGAGAACATCACAATTTAAAATAGTCAATGTTATCCTACTTGGGTGCAACTTCAAGACAAACCATTGATAGTAAAAGAAAGGGAAAATTATATTAAAATAGAACCAATTTTACCCTGATTTTTTATTTTAAGGGATTAATTTTTAAAATTATCATTTAAGTATCTCAAGTAAATTTTTTGTTTATTTAACGGTCTGATTAACCTAAAAGGTAAGCAGTATCCTCAAAATGATGTGGCAAAAGAATTTACATGACATCCCCACCTTTATAAAATAAAATCTAGCCTCCCCTTACACCTCCATTGCCGTCCACTTTTCGTCCTCCGGCACTGTGTGTCTTCTCTTTTTTTTCACATTTTCCGACCACAAATCCCTATTCCTTCACCATCTAAACAAAACCCACAAGAAAAAAAGAATAAAACCCCATCAAAGATTTACCAGAAATGCTTTTTTTTTTTTTAGCAATTTGCATCAACCCCCATTATCAAGTCTCAAACACCATAAAGAAAAAATCGAACCTTTACATAATGACGAGCCTTAGGGCCATGAAAGAAAGGACATGGAAAAGAACAATGGTTGGTTTAGTTGCAGACGATGAAAAGGGAAGGGAACCTTGAAGGTGAAAGACCTGAGTTGAGTTGCAGGCTCTAGATCTTCAAACTCTCCTTTACGAGACGACGGTTTCCTTTAGGAGCCGCCTAATCCTATATAGGAATCTGGACCTAAGTTGTAGGCTCCAGATCTTCACACTCACTGGCCGAAGCTGTTGCTTAAGAACATGCGGCTTGCACGAAAATTTGATTTGGGATACAGGGTTTGTTTTTACTTATTTCAATTTATTTTATTTTTATTTTTTCTAATTTGGCTTTTGAAATGGATGACTAGTAATTTTATATCACCTCAAAAACATTTTATTAATATGAACTTTGAGCCTCTTAATTTTTTTATTCAATTTAAATTAAATAAGGAATAAATGATAATTTTTTGATTATTTATTAGTTTCGATATAATGTAGAATTTTAATTATCTAATATAAGAAACAGATGACATGAAACGAAAAGTTTGTTTAAGGCGTATACATTATAAATTTAAATTTAAAAGTTGGTTCTCAAAATAGAAATAAACACAAAATTGGTTCTATTTTGATGCACCAAGAAATGTTGAATCAAATACACATGCAATTCTGCAATGAATCTAACAAAATGGAATAAATACACTTCAAACCAAAAAAATATCAAATAAGAGAACACCGAAAACGGCCAATTCACATGTGATTCATGCGACTTTGGCAGCGACGTGAGGTTACGAGCCAAGTCACCTGCTCACCCTTTGCGTTGAGCATGTTCCATAAGCAGATGTGATTTTAGTGCAAATCACATGTGATTTGGAAAACACAGGTTTGATAATCCCTCAACAAGTCTATACCTCAGATTCATAGTTGAACGTGTCAAATATGTAGTATACTCGAATAGTCGACATCTTGAAGTGTGAGTTCACCAATGTATAGCTGGCTTATATGATCCCGACACAGCGGAACACACTTCCGATCAAAAACCTCATGAATGACGCCCATCCCCGAAACCCATGATTTCTCATCCGATGGATTCAACTTCAGTTCTTTATGCAACAACCGTATACGATACAAAACCGTATCGGTTCTTTGACAGAAATGAGCACTACAACGATAAAAAGGCTCATCAGAAGCCAATCTGATCAAGACCATCGTTAAAGCTCCATCCACAGGCTTTGGATCTGCAAGATTCTTATCTCCCATCATTTTGATCTCCCTTTCGGTAGGGAAATGAAACTCTTCACCTCCATCGACATCGAAAACTCTCAAATCCTTGGTGTAATGTTTGATAGCTTCACGCTTTGTTGATTCGTGTTTTTCGGCTAAAGTCAACAAGCAAGAGAACCTTAAGTGATAAGTTACAACGGTTTTCACAATCTTGAAGTTGCGAGAACTACAAAAGTAATCGAGCCATCTTTTTCCCACACTCGCGTACCATTTTATGATGTCGGCATCTTCTAGAGCGGTGAGTGAAGTGATTGGCCTAGGACGACCCATGTTATTGGTGAATCCGGCCAACCTAACGGATTTTCTAACGAGCTGTTCAGGTGCATCAACTTTTATACAAAGTTCCGTTAAATCCTTAACAGTTCTTTCTGCATATTTCCGTTCTTCATCTTCTTCGGCCTTCCTTTTTTTGTCATTTAACTCGTTTTTAGCTTTCATCGGATTCAAATACTTGTTAACTTGCTCTTGGAAGTTGTCATACGAGTCTACAAGATCCGAAGGAAGTTGATCTCTAATTCTTTTCAAAGACAAAAAATCTCCTCCCGAGAGCCCACGGTACCAGGCTGCACGCTCTTCAATCGACTCTAGAAATTCGTCAACCGTTTCACCAGCCCAAGTTTCAAAAATCTCCCTAACTTCGTTCTCGATTTGGAATTCAAATTTGAAGCCATTGGTTGTCTTCAACTTCTTATAAACATGACTAAAAATTTTCATCGCCAGTTTTTTCCTATTCGATTCTCTCCGGTTTTTCAGTTCTTGAAGTCTTACTTCTTTTTGTCTCAAGTACTTCTTCTTCGCCCTAATTGCCTTCTCGGACATTGGAGGATGCAAAACTGATGGCGTTACCGCCCGAAGATCCATACCCAAAAACGTAATTTCCTCAGAAACAGCACTATGAATGACTGTTTTCGCTCTGTCCACCTCTAACCCTAAATTATTTTCCACAAATTGTACAGATTTATTCTTTAAATTCACCGTTAAACCCTTGGAACCGGATGTGATCACAAGTATTTCATCTAAGTATCTAACAGCATATATCTTTAAGGGCTTACAGAAAACATGATCACCATCATCCTTAACATCATTCGATATACTTTTCGAGTTTTCCTTATTAATCAGAAGACGTAGTTCTTGAAACCTTTGATCAAACACATTCAAGTAAATGTTAATTAGTATCGAATTTAACCCACATTCTTGAGGGAACCCCCTCCCTAAATAACATCCACCCAACTCAATTCGGGCCACTTGGGTTGCAATCAATCTCTTAATTATATCAATGAAGATCTCATCTCCTATTTTATCTTTCATAATCAAGCATAGTTTGTTCAGATTCTCTGTACTAAATTGATTTTTGTTGTTAAATGAAATGGTAAACCACCAAGACGGGTTTTCCACAGTGTTCTTTAGATACCGTATGGCAGTGTGTCTACCCATACCAACACGACCACCATAGCTAAAAGTTGCAAATCGATCATCATATATAACTTGTAAAACCATCCTAATGGATTCAATTAACACCTTAAGTTTCAAGTTAGGAACAAGGAGAGAAACTGGTTCACCTTCGTTCGCCATTTTGAGGAAGCATGACTCGAAATCGAACCTGTTTTCTCTGAGCTCGTCGGAGATATCCATGATCGAAAAGAAATTCGTTGAGAGTGAATCGATGGTCGGCGGCGGCGTCGAGTTGGGGCCATCGTGGATGAGATTATGGCAGGCGGTAAGAAGGACGGAGGGGGAAGAGACGACGTTTTGGAGGAGGTTGGAAAACTTGCCCTGGTGGTATTGGGAGAGAACTAGGGTTTTGAGTTGGGGTTTCGTCAGGGGTTCAGTTACTACAGTGTTTGATTTTTCCCGCGAAGAGACAGTTGCAGGCAGTGCTGAAAGGAGCCTCGCAGTCGCCGGAGAAAGAACGGTAGGCCGAAAGATACGCAATGAACCGGGGGTTCGCCGGAAAAGTAAAAGCATCGAGGGTATCCGCAGTGAAGCTGTGATTTTCTATCTAATAACGAAATTTAAAAACTAAAGATTATAACACTTTTGCATTTTTTTTTCCTTTTTTTTTAAAGGAAACACTTTTGCAAATTAAAAATGCAAAATGATGGTCATGACTTGCAAACGTATCTGAATTTTATCTATTCGTTTAACGTCTGTTAAATGATATCGTTAAATGAGGGGTTGGTAGTCTAGGATCGTTTATGTTCATACAGTATGCACAAAGTCCTAATAGTGAAGGTATAAGTGCATGTCGACACTATGATCGTTTGTAAGTAATAATGTGGTAAAATAACAAGATCGTTTCTACATGGATTGAAAAACTAAGAATCAGAGACTTTCATGAACTCCTTGAGCATGTTTCGGCTTGTGATTAAAATTTGGATTTTTGTTTATAGAAAGTTCTAAAAAACGAAATTAGAGAAATGAACTTATAGAATAAAATATGGGCATGGGTGTAAATATTCCTTAAGATAAAATCAACAGTATAATGGTTAGAAACTTATGAGATGTTTGTAAAAAATCCTATCTCTCGAAAGTGAAAATAAATAAACAGTTTTCACAAAATTCCTACAAAGTTCTCACTCTCATCACTCCGAAACTTGTTGATTTTGCTAAATAGAAAAAGAAATAAAATTTATACTCAAATCTCTTTGTAATATAAGTATCTAATGCTTAATCCTTAGCTAAATACTTACAAAGTTCGTATATCTACGTAATTATCAAAGACTCTCTCAAGTTCTTTGTGCATCACTTAAGCCGTATTTCAAATCCGTCAATCGCTGGGTCAAAGATTTAATATGAACACTTCAAAGTGATCAGCTTATCTACGTTGAGCTTAAGTCACGTCTTAAATGTCCAAGTTTACGAAATGGTAAGAGTAAAAACACCTAATTATTTCATAAAAATCCTAAGTTAAGCTCACACCTACATCAATATAAGTAATTAGCTCATGATATACATAAAAACATCACATAAAACAATAAATAAGACTGAAATGTAACTTTCATTAAATTAGAACTAAAGTTTGTTGCCACCGTGGTGAGGATTGGATAAAGATGAAGAGACTTCAGCTATTAAAACTTCAAAGGGATGATCAACAAATAAACTCTTGGCCTATGTGTATACAAGGGAGGAGTGGATAAAGATGAACTTCTTTATCCGAAGGAAATGGAGCTTACACAAACCTTGTGAGCAAAGACCCATCAACATTCTTTTTTTTAATCCAAAACTCAACTTTCCAGAGCAGCTCCAGCTGTAACATATTTTATAGAAAAATCTTCAAGAAAACTCTCTCCAAAAAGTTGAACCTTATCCAAAAATCGTAAACTTCCCAGAGTGGTTACGTTGTGGGCATTTGCTAGAAAGTGCAGGTTTTTTGAATAAATTCTCATCATTTGTGGTTTTTCATCTTTTTTTTTAACTTTTAGAATAAATGGGAAAAAACACGAAAACTAGGTATTTAATATATACAAAAATGAGAGAAATAAATAAGAAATAACTCTAAAAAATTAGAGTTATCAGGGGTATTATAGTCTTTTACATTTTTCTCTTAAAAATATATTGATGTCAGTTATATAATGTAATATTTAGAGTTTATATTTGTAAGTTTTTTATATGTTCATGACATGTGTCACAAAATAATACCACAAAAGATTAGGTAAACCGATAGGATCGCACATAAACAATATGTATGCTTCGATATGATTATTGGATAATAAAAAACCCAAACAATATCATGTCGATTATTAATTGTTATTCTAGCAGAATAATTAAATTATATATCAGGAGTGTAATTATGATAATTATAAGGTTTTATGGGTTTTTTTTTTACATTTTATTTTTATTATGATTAATAAAATTAAATGAAACTTTTAATTAGGCTTGATGGATTTTTAACAAATGGACTTGAGGGTTATAACATGTATGTTTGGGAGTTATGGTGTATCAGTAACTCCAAAGATTACCTATAAATAAGGTGATAGGTCAAAGACTAAATTAATCAATCATTTTAGTATTCTAGATATTACCAAATAATAGCGTAAAACAAACTTATTTTCTTTTATATTAAAACACATACTAGAAATTTAAGGGGGCGTTTGGTTCATAGAATGAAATTCAATGGAATTGGAATTCATCAAATAAATTTGACTTTGAGGGAATGTAATGGAATCTGATGGAATTTGACCATGGCTTGTGATTGCGTTTGGTTGCATGGAATTGGAATGGAATTCTTAACGGAATTAGAATTTTTTTTATTTGGTTCACGGAATTCAACTTTGGGATCGGAAGTTAAATATTAACAAATGACCTTTTATGATTTTTTTGTCATTTTTTAAAAACTAAAATTACCATTAAACCAAATTACATCATTAACATCTGATAAAATTTGAAATTCTTCACTTATATTTACTAATATATGAAATTTGGATGAGGGCTAAGGAATTCGTATGAAAGGAATTTGAAATCCTTGGTACATCAAGTGAAATTGTGAAATCGGTGACCAAATGAGTTTGTAGGAATTGAAAGGATTCCTTCGCTTATAATATGTGAACCAAACATCATATTTGGAATTTGGTCAAAGGATTATTCCAATTCCTTTCAATTCCACCAAATTCCCATGATCCAAACAACCCTTAAGGTTTCAGGCTAACACTTTGTTGAGGCCAAGCATGTTAGTGTGTGGATTGCTGTAAATGAAACTTATTTTGGTTTCTACTGCTCCGACCAAAATGTACAAAAAAAAATCCTAAAGGTAAACGTCTAATCACCCCATGGTTTGTTTAGATTAGATTAAATGTATCAATGGATTATAAAATGGTTTCTTTTGTTTAAAAGTTTTCTACAAAAATAACCTAAATTTATTTTGCGATGCATTTTTTGTAAGGTTACTTCACAAAAGAAACCCTACAGTGATATATGAGCCCCCCCCCCCCCCCCCCCNGGCGAAAACAATAGGGTCGACGTCGTGCGCTAGGACGATGGGCTAGAAACCCTAATAGTCTGTGGCTTTCAGCCGATGCCCATGCCGTCTGGCCCACGGTTGGTGTCGTGTCATTTTTCTGGAGATAGATCTATGGTATATGACCGTTTGAATGTGTTTGGTTGTTTAGTTTTAAATTGGGAAGTTATAATGTATTTAATTGCAATAGGCTGTAATTTCTAAAATACGACCACTAAGTATTTATTTTCTAGTTTTAGATAATTGTAAAATAGATTAGAATATGTCTATCTCTTCTATTTAAATTTTTTACCAAACTGAAGACGGTGATTCTAAAAATCAAGAAGGAACACTAGTGTTCACCAAGTTGGAGGAGTTAGTGCGAGCTTAAAGATGTCCTTAGATTCACCACAGTTATCGTGTTGGTTCACGAAACCACATTAAAGGATTCTACCATATATTTTGTTTTGTAGTTCTTTATATTTTGCATACTTTATTATTGCATGTTTATTATTGCTATAGTAATTGCAATAATCTATTTTTAAAAAGGATTTTAATCGGTAAGATAAATATAATATTTTAAAATTGATATGCTTATCAAGATAAATATGATATTCTAAAAAAGTTGTTGAAAAAAAATTATGATACCCTAGCATGGTTAGCCTGCTTGAAACATCCATAATAGTATATTGGTCATTTAAAAATATTTCAAGGCATGCAAGTGGGATTAAACATGTCAAAATTTTACATCTGATATGTTAAATAGAATCCCACCAAGATCTAAGAGTAAAGTTGAATGTAATTGGATAATACCTACCTAAATAACCTATTGTCATAGACAGTGCATTTGGCTATTTATGAGATTTACTGAAATATGGGTATTAGCTCTTTTTAAAATGAACTTTAAACGGTTAATTCATTTATTGAGATTTTAAAAGTTATTAAAATTGAACTTGATTTTGGTAGATATTTGCTAATACCACAAACACAAACACAACCACAAACAATTCAAACTTATCCCAATTCAACTGTGATCCATCTTTGATATGGAACAAGTAAATGGGAGAAACTTCCTCGAATGGTTTCGCTTCGCAATGGTCGTTCTTAGGCATGAAAATAGTTTTACATTCTGAAGAATGGTAGGTTATATCGCACACCTTTAAACAAAGGAAATGGGCCACAAAGCAAATATACAATACGGTCTAATTTCGTCTTTCTAAGTAATAAAGTGGTAAAAATACCGGCTATCCACGAAGATTATAGCAAAAGTCTAATAAGAGTCTAATGAAAGAAATGATTTCAGATGATGAAATTGAAGACTTCAGTTTGATTTTGAGTTAACAATGATAATATAACAGAATAATAAGGGTAACAAGGGTGTAAGACTTGTGGTGAAACGTAAACACAAATTCCAGC